GTCGTTAAAATTTCAGACAGTTTTGCTATAAATATATTATAACAACGGTGCTGTAGTTATCATAAAAGTATTATTGCTTATTTATTGAATACAGTACATAGCGTCAAAACAAGTTTAGTAACACTTGATATAAAATACTTTTATCATAAATTCCTTTTCAATTTTGCTTTACGAAAATAACACTTATCGTATAATACGAATTTTAATAACACCTAAAATCTTTTAATTTTCATTTGTCACTAAATGTTTCCATTATCGCTTGTCCTTTATACCACAAATAAGAAACAATATTACTGAACGTATCAATATAATCAAAAACATCGACAGAAACAATCAGCTTCTGCAATTTCCCAATAAAAATATTTCTTTAGAGTTCTGTCCGCACTTAAAATGGTGTCGATATTACTGTTATTTTGAGAAATCCATAAAATTATCATTAATATTATATGTATCAAAGAATCAATTGGTTTTTGGTGCGAAATATGCTATTAAATTATCTCTTGGCAACACTTGAAACTAATTTACCTTTATAAAGCTAACCTTTAACATTATTTGTATTAGTTTTATGTTTTAACGCTAATATTTTTGTTAAATTATATTCTGTTTTATGTAAATGAGTATTTAGTTAGGTCTGCAATCATTATTAGTTTTGTTTATGTATTCTAATACGGTTGTAATTCCTTTTGACGCTTTATAGTTTTCGTTATTAAACTTAGTGACATTGATTTGTACTTATGACTATCACACAGATCACATTAAACTGTCAATATAAACCGTCTCTAAATTATGAACCCAATTTCTTTATAAACTTTCCTTTTAACTTTCCAGATTTTATAGTCTTTTAAAGTACATTGATATTCATAGCCGTTAAATAATTTTCATAGGAACTTTTACTAATGCGCCACACGACGATTTTAATCTGTGAATATGTGAACAGAACTATTTCAATGAATAAAACTTTGGAAACGTATTTCGACCAAACTTTACTCATTTAGCTTCATGTTCGTATCTACTGTTGAATTAATGGTCACAAGAACAATATCAAGTTGGGACCTAAATTATTTATTCTGTTAGACTAATGGAAGTAGGTACGCATGAGCCTTTTCAATTTAGCTCAGTGAATCGATATGAATAATACTGGGTACCTATCATGATAATTGTTACTGAAAGCGATTTATATTCAGTGATTGAATATAGGACATTTAGCTAACTTTTGTAGCTAAAGTTATATAATATGATATCCATCATTATCTAAAGGACAGACAGCTTGTTGGGTAACATAGCATTAGTTGTACACGATCGCGTGCGCATCTCGGATCAAGGCGATGTATCACTGGGTAATTACTTCGCGACGGCAGTCTGCCACCGACAGTCGTGCAGTTTGCACGCCGTAAACACGAACTTGATGACATGCCTACGATACTACGCAGCATAAATTTATATTACAACCACACAACACTAAAGCTTCGTTAAATTTATGTTTAAATCATTAAAATAGTTTTGATAGTCTTGTAGTCCTTCGTGTCTTCATGTTTAATAACTTTGTAATATTAATGATCGGTACGACCTCACTGTCTGCACTGTATATTATAATGAATTAACCGATAAATCTCTTAATTACTCTCTTATTTGTGGCGAGTGAGATATTTAAGTTAAAGGTGTACTGTTTTATTTGTCACCGGATGCACATTTCTGCTTGTATTTAATCCACGTCTGACCTTTGGCCTGTTGTTTTCCAACATTGTTCGTAGTTGTGTTGTGAGGACGCCCTGGATCGCATGGGAACCTCCTAGTTCCTTATCTCGCGTTGTATCAAAATGTCGCCTATTATCTTTGTTTGGGGCACTTTCGGCGCTTGTTGGGTACCGACACATAACGACATGTACGCGTCTACCATGATGGATGCGTTCGCGTCGCCTATGTGAGGTCCGGTGTCTTGTGAAAGCAAGTTTGTCATTTTCTATTCTACGCAGTAACTGGATTACTTGATGGAATTTATTAAATCATTGTATGATGGACGCATTTTATTAGTGCCTATAAAATCATTCCGGAAGGTTTTTAATGCCGAATTGAGACCGACTTTATTGACAATGACAATAAACCAGGAACAAGTTTGGAAATGTTGAAATTATAATAAATGTCGTAATTAATTTGCAATAAAATTATTACACAGTTTATACGCATGTTTTATGGCCGCGTGTCGTCAAACTCATGTAATGGTCTTGTAAATTTGACATTTTATGGTCTACAAAATTTTAAAGCTTATGATCTTTTTCATTAAAACCACGGCTTATCGATTAATGTTCGAGTTTAAAATATTTAGGTTCTGTGGCAGGTAATGTTCAGATAACATCAGGAGATTAATCAGTGTAATCCGAGAGATTTGCATACTTATGGCAGTTTATTCTACTTTGATGCATTTTAATTGAATTTGATTGTGTGAATCATTACATACCATGACTGTCTAATATAGCGAAACAGTGGAATACCTGAGTAGTTCTTGGTGATCATCACAAATATTGTTAGTTAGTCGGGGCAATGAATAATAATTGCAGCGATGCCTCCTGGTAGTTACATAAATTTTCCAATAACGCCAGGCAGGGGCACGGCAGTGGCACCGCAGTCGGTGTGCCATGAAAAATACCCGGATTATAACTCGGGAGCGATCTTACCGTACAGATAACGCCGCTAGATATAAATTATCTCACAAACGCAAGACCCTACTAATATTAAATAAGAAAGCATGTAATTCACGTTGCTCCGATCTGCCGCCCGAGTAATAAAATACACAATTTTGACAGATTTTAAATAATGACGTCCGCGTTGCCCAGGAAATGCTTAGAAAGTTTATATGTTACAATGTACTGCTTTGAAGTCGTTCAGTGGTCATGTCGACCTTGCCAGTGATTAATTGTACCCATTTGTAGAACATATCGTGTTTTGTCGTTAACATAAGTTTGTTCTGTTACTTGTAAGCATAAATAAATAAAAAATGACACGCCATTTTAGGATTAATAAGGATTATATGAGACGAAAATTGACAAATATTCATATAAAATTAACCTGTTTCAATCAGTTCATATTTTTATCACATTCTTATTAATTTACTCATTTTGTATATAATTCACAAGATTATCATATACTTGACGTGTGCATAATACAGTGGGTATTAATACCAAACCATCAATTTAATATTGTTTTAAAATCTTTTACGACGGTAGACTCAGTGTTTTTCAAGTGTGAAGCCTTGCTCAGTATATAATGGTTTAATTATTATATGTATTACTTTGTTACCAAGTATTACGTGTTTTCATTTATTTTACACTATATCGTGACAAATCGAAATGTGTAATAAAACGAATTATCTTAGAAAGTTAGATAATATTAATATTGATCCTTATTCGAATTATACTTAAATTATTTTAATTGATCTGTCACAGCTTCATATTTATGTATCTAAGGTTATCGGGTCATCACACTTGTGCCTAAAACATGTAAGATTGTGATTATAGAAAAAATATGTTGACAATGAATCCGGATCTAGAATTGGTAGCTTCATAAACTAATTCCTAGGCAAAAGTAGTGTTGATCTTGCGAGATACTTGAGAAAAAACGACAAAAGCAAAAATTCACGTTGGTAAGGACCTTGATGGAGATATTCTTCGAATTTGTTGAATCGTGACTTAATACACAATTATACTGTTTGCTTTTTGGCGCCACACGTCGCGGCTAGTTTCATTTGTAAATGTTATTGGAGTACAGATTAAATTCCATTGAATTGCCTTGTTAACATACCTCTGTTTGAGTTTAACTGACATCGTTTTTAATTACTGTTTCATTGGTAATTCGTTTCCTGTGTTTTATGTTTCGCCAACTAGAATTTACAGTTTGTTTTTCCAATAGTTGTTACTTTTTACGATTATGACAAATAATACATAGGTACTCGTTCGCAGCCCCTATTTGTAGTCATAAAATATTTACGAAGCCACCATTCGCCGCCATCGCCAGTCCAATAACTCATCTACGTGCTAAATGAAGAGCTCGTTTGCACCGTTTTAGATGGTAATATTGACGATGATGATAAACTGAATTGTAAATTTGGTTTGAATGCAACTAGTCGCGGCGCCGCTGTCGGCTCCCGTGTCGCTTGAGGGGAGTCTCTACAATAATTAGAAAATGATGGTGCTTAGTAAACGCTTGCAATTTTGCATGACAAGACTTAATCACGACCCCCGGCAACACTCAGAATTTCTTTTATGTCAAAACTTACCTATACTTTATGCGACACATTTATATTTCTGTAAAAAGAAAATTCTGAGCCGAAATATCAACATTGGACCACCCTTGCAAGTTATTTAAGAAAACATTCCAATAATGCCAAGTTGGGGTTTGGCGGCGTCCCCTCGTAGCAAATATTAAAAGACATTTGTTATGATGAAAACAAACATATTTCACCAAATAGGTCGACCTGGCAGTTCGGTCGGCAAAACGCCTTGTAATTCTGAACGCCCACTGATCGTGCGGTTTTAGGTGTAAAAAAATCGATTAAAGTATGGCGACACGCTGCGATCGATACAAGATAATATTTCATCTGGTTCTTGACGGGTGCCGTAGATTCTATACATATTTTTGTGAAATTCAATTAAATGTTTTACGGCGGAATAACTGTTGCTACGTATCACTTTACATCGTTTTTAACTTTTATAGTTTATTGTATTAGGAACTACTAAACAACTGGAATGTGGAAAACTTACGTTGTCCTCCATAACTTGATTGAGTGATGTATTATGACTTCATTTCTCAGTACCGCCTTATAATAAGCGACAGTCCGACCGTCTTCTAGTTTGCCCTCTATACCATAATGGTACTTCAATGTATATTTCAAGCACTATTTGCCAAAACATCTTCACCGAGAATAGTATCAAAACACGTATTACTTAAAACACTACTTATGCGAGTGTTTGGAGTTGTTATTAAATTTGCTTTGTTTTTTTTTCCAGATTTATGGATACCGTTGACGAGTTCCTGGGAAAAGATTGTGGTGAGTCAAAATTTTGTTTGCACTAAATGTTAGCGCACTTGATTATTTTTGGGCCGTGCTTTAATGACGGCTTGTGTGTGTGGACTTACATTGGTGTTGCGGTTTTCTCTTTAGTGGCTGTGCAAGTAAAGAGAGCCAGTCTCGGTTTGTCGACCACAGGTAAGATCCGTCCATACATTCAATCTAAACAAACGTTCAAAATTGGGTGTGTTGTTAGCTCGGCGCACTGTAAACGCTCATGTAGGTTAAAGTCATGATGGCACAAGTACACTTATTTCGCGTGGGTGAAAACTTTGTGGTGAGGTGTTAATGCACGCCCATTGCTTAATTGTATTGCTTTACGAGAAGACCATTTAGGGTAGACAGTTGTACTCACTTTTTATAGTCGCTAATCGTTTCTATTAAAAATACGCACGTATTATTTAAAAATAGAAGCTCATGACACATTCGTTTTTGGCATAACGTTGATTAGATATATTAGCTGGGTCCGAAACAGGTTAGCTAAACAATACTACTAGGTGGGTCTTTATATACGTAATTCTTTATATTATCGCAACAGAAATTGCCTATTGTTGCGGTTAGTATAAATAATGTTTGGTCAATAATCTTAATGCTGCAAAGAATGAAGCCATAAGCTAATAAAGTACTACTTAATACTACGTCAAAATGTTGCAGTACAAATCTTTAGAGCTTTCACTCTCAATTAAAATGAATGCAAACAAAGCGTATGAATCAACACAGCAAGAATGATATATGTTTTTATTGAAATGAATATAACGTAATTTAAATTTCATTGCGTCTCAATTTGCATCACCAGTCGGTTATGTCATTGCGTCAACAGAACCGTATACGGCTTTATCAGTGACGTTCGACACAACATACGATTTCAATTAAAGGCCGCTTCGATTTTAACGAGAAATGTGATTCGTGTTCACTCTTCAAAGAACTCATATTCCTTTTCCGTTTCACCTGTCTTGTACGGGATGAGAGCAATGGAGAGCTCCTCAAACTTTGGTTGATCGACGCAGTCAAAACTAGTAGGTTCAGTCGACATGTCCAGTTTATCGGCAGCCACGCTTTTAATTACAGTGACACAAATCGTAGTTATCGTTGGACTTCTCACGGTGCCGAACTCAATATTCCGAATGTTCATTAAGTTCTAATTACGAATGGGCGCCCTTGTTTGTCTTGATCACAAAAACTAGCTTTTATTAGATTACGTGGGCAGTTTCAATTAATTGTGAGCATGCGACTATCTGTCGGCGTTTTCATTGGTAATGGCCGGTTATCGGTGTCGCTAAGTAGATTGAGTGAGATGTATATTATACTGGTTTGCTAAGGCTGGCGCCAGATTCTTGAAGAATGTAAGTCGATCCATGTGGTTTGATCCGTTTCCTCAATTGCAACCAACAATTAAATTGGAATTTATTGTACATGTGAAATAAAACAACTTATTTGAATAAATGATACATTCGTAATGTTCGTTCGTTGCGGCGCGTGGTAATGCGACGATATTCGTATTTCACCTGTTATCTGAGGTGGAATCGCGCTCGCGTCCTGATTTACACGATATCGCATGCACGGGAATGTTGTTACACTTGCTACTGTTTGTGCACCCTGTGGTAGCCGCGGTCGTGTTTAAAGTGTAATCAAATTAAGAAATGTTTCAATTTTACATTTATTTTATAATCATTATACGTTTGAATTCGTATATTTTTTTTATTGTCAGTTAGTCCTACATGCATGAGCAATTTTGTGTCTACTACATCTTTTAGTTCCCTTTCTCGTGTTTGATCTTGGTACATTAAGAAAGCTGTTATCATTTCATACGTCACATTTACATCGTTATACATAATTTATCGTGCTCGCTTCGAATTAAAAATCAATTTTATCATCGAGCATTTTTATCGTTGTTTCTAACAGATTGATAGTACTGAAATCAATTATGGAAGTTATCGCTATTATAAATGTTTTACAAGAAGTTATTTGACGTGTCTTGCAGATGTCCCACTGTCGCATGTCGCATACTTGATGGATGGATTTATTTTACTGTTACATAGATGACTTGCTACTTTCGATGTAACATTGATAAACGATGGGGATTTTGCTTACTTTTTGTGTAAGTTGTAGGAAAATTACTAGACGTTACGTGGACTTGAGTAAATAACATTGCTACTAGTATTTCTATGTATGGAATTGACCGACTTGATGATTTCATTTGGATTTACGTTGACCATACTAACAACATTGTTCTCATGTCTAGAGTAATAAAACTCTCTTATAAAATACGCTTCCTTTTTATATCATTGAGATGGCGTCACGTAAAAATGAGTTTGTCCAACTTAGTTTCGAAGTTTGTTGATATGGCTGGTGGATATATCGCTGCGTTTCAAGCAGTTTACTTACTGCAAGATAGTTGTAGACAAAGTTGCACTTTTGGAATAGAAACAGTAACAGTGACAAATGTTGCTGAGGAATCTGTTTGTCTATCTATTTGTGTAGTGATAACGTACTTTAACAGTTGTTCATAATATATTACGATTGTTATTTCGTAAATTATTGTGTTGTTTTAAAATTATTCTTTTCAAACTTTATCTTTATTTATCGTTTTCTTGAACTCTCCGGCGTTGTCTGCTATGTCGTTTATTTAAAGAGAAATAATTTAGTTCCTATGAGTTTTCATTGTCTAAGAAATATTTTAGAAGTATTGGTTAGTAGCTATTGTTCATCTTTTGTGTTTGAGCCGCTTCTTCCTCCAGCTACAATTAGAGTTATATTTAAGGGCATTTGTTTCTTCTATTTTGATTATTGTTTTGTTGACTGCCTGAGACAAATCTTCAGGTAAGGATAATATGGATGCTTAGTTTATATTTTAGTGTTCTTTGTTTTCTATAAAGTATGTCTATTGTATATTTCATGCGTGTCCATATTCCATATATTATAAACAGTATTGGAAAGTAGTCTTAGCTTCGGATTTTTGACAAGTTAATTTAAAATTGTCATGTGTGACGACTTTTGACCACAAGTTACTCATTTTCTGGTATTTTAAAATTAGTGTTCAATAAAAATTCCGAACGAAGAATGTGGAACCATTGCGACAATTAATATTCTTAAATACCTAATCAGTCATCTGATCATCACATCACTGCCCACGCGTGGCGCCGCGGACGATGTGGCAAGACGCAACAAGTTCTTACATACGGCTTTTAGGATGAGGTTTTAATACAAGCGATTTGGTTAGACCTCTTCCTCGTCACGTAAAAGGTGACATCAAAACAATTCTTTCTATGTATAACTCGCTAATAGCGGTCAACGATCGCTTTCCGCTTTTTCCAAACCTAACCCGTAACTTCGTAAATTGTTATCATAAAAATATCAATGTTTTAATACGTAATAAGACCTTTATCGTCCGAAAAATGTTGTTTGCGTCAAGTGGCGTCTTAAATGAAGGCAACATTTATTGCGTCCCGCGGCGCTTTTAGTTTGTTTTACTACTCATATCTGTAATGGTATAGTTTTAATGTAAGTTTATTTGCTTATCGTGATTTCTAAGTATCTATTAGCGGGTTTATAGCTAACTCTGTTACTAGTCGGTTAAAACGATTCGTGATCAAATCGTCTGTTGGAAGAATTTGCGTGAGTGTTTGAGATTACGTATCGAAACCTGCAATTAAAACGATCTACAAGCAATTGTAGAGGTACAAAAAGAAATTGAGAATTAATCTTAGTTAACTTCAGGAGCGTTTACGCAATTGTTAAGTGCAATGTAATAGGATAAGTACAATAAGGAGATACCTAGGTCGACATCGTAACATTGTTAACACACCGCAGTCACATGGATGCGTGTGGTAAAATCCTAATAAGCCGATTACGATGTAAGGGGGTCGCGCGTAGGCGAACTATCGCGTATCGATATCGACTCGTTTCGTTCACAATGCATCGATTGTCGACAATCGATATGAAACGCGATGCGCTCACCTATTCGTCTCGGTAAAGACATATCATAATAATTGATGTAACATTCATCATTAAATTGTCGCTATACGTAAAATGTTGCAATAAAATACGTTGTATTGGTATCAAGTAAATACGACTAAATTACTAACTAAGATATTGCAAGTTAGGCATTTTTTGCACACGAGAACACTGTTTACCTTAGTATGTTCGATAACTTTTTTTAGTTTAGTTTAGAGAACTAAGGACTAATATCGATGGTATTCTTCACCTGTGGTAGGTCTCAATATTACGCAATAACAGTTCAATTCATCAATGTATTGTTATTATAATTACGTCACGCCCTCTTTTGATACCCTCTTGTCCGTTTGTTTGGGCTGTGCGTCGGAATACCGGTGTTGTTTATTTTCTATCAAGTTTATTACATTACAAATACAGTACGCTTTCTATGCTAAGTGACTTGCAAGTGGTAACATGTTTTGGGCTTATTGTATTGTCAGCTGCAATTTGCATGTGAATCGATGCAACGCAACGTAACGTAATAGTTGACGTTTGAAATGTCACCAAACGCTACTTTGAGAACCTGAAACGGCAGCTCTTTTTGATGTGAGCAACATTATTATGATGGTCTTGAAGCCGCTGTTAGTCTATTATGCAGACTGACAATGGGTGAGAAAGTATTAGAGACGTTATTTATTAGGAGCAAAATAATGTATATCAGTGTGTAAAACAAGAATTGCACTTTACTAACCACAGGTTTTAGTTTATCGTGTGTTTACTCGATAAATTGCTTAATTCTCACTGAAATGTATACCTAAGCATTAGTCACTATTTTGGGTCTTTTGTCTACACGTCAAAACTTAAACGAAACGCTGCTAAAAAGTTAAACTTAGTCTGAGCTGCGTCGTATATCTTCAGCTCATAAACATTATCTCATAAACGTACCTCTAAGTGAGTTCTCATAATTATCATTGCATTGTTTGTTTCTGTAATTGAAAACATGTACATACGTTAATTAAGTTGCTGGCAAAAGCTTGCCTTGATGGATTGTTGTAAATGAAATTGTTTTTTTGTCTGTCCCGACTTGGCATGAATTTGCATGTGTAATGCCTCAAATGCATTACTCCTTGGCCGCTCTGCGTGGGAATTTTGCATCGACAATAAGGTTTTTGCTCGTTTTTTGTCTCGTGCTAAGGAACTTATGAGGTGCATATATGTAGCGGACAAAGTCAGGTCGTAACATCTGTATTATGTTCGTGTGTTTTCTCGGTTTATGATTTTGTTCGTCGTCTGAAACGTATTCTTTGATTGTATAACGAAAATGTCAAGTTGTGTAAGCCTTTGTGCAGTCTTTCTTTTATTCGTCTGAGACCAGTCAGAAACTATTTTGTATCAAAGGCTGAATGTAGTCTGAAATGACTTTAACTCCATACATTTTTACACGTAATAATTTTAAAAGGTCGTTTTGTACAATTGTGTGCGATGTAAAGGTACATCTTGGTTGCTACTTCAAAGGTCTTCCTGAGGAAGTGTCAAACCGCGGCCACGACTTCCTTTCTCCGCGGCGCCACCCGGTTGCACCGCCCTCGCTTAGCGATGGGGTGCGATGGGGGCGAGAGTCAACGACCTCCGTCGATGTTTGCCGTGCGATTTTGAAGACACAAACATGAGGTTTTCGTTTATTTTCCGCGGTTCGGTTTAGAGGCTATCGATCGTGATTGCATTACTATTTGTCCTTTCTCATTATTGTTTTTTTGTTTTGTTTGTTATTTAAGGTGTAGGGTGTGGGATTTTTTCAGATTTTAATCTTTGTTACATTATTCTTAATTTACCTTTAAATTGATTTTCAAAAACTTCTACACGCTATTGAATATTTGTTACAGAATTCCTGATCGGTGTCCACTGCACGCACGGGTTGAATCGCACCGGTTACATGGTGTGCCGATACATGCGCGACCGCCTCGGGATCCCTGCCAAGGACGCTATTAAGAGTTAGTTATTGTCTATAAATATTACTACATGAACTATTTATTGCTTCACCACTGCTGGCTGGTTCGCACGGCCCGTCATTGTAACTCTATCTTAGTCTACGATGAAAGTTGTTAGGACAGGTGAAAATATTAGGAAATATATCTTCACTGTAACTCATATTCTAACGAGGCTATCATAAAAATTAATGTCGATATAAAAACAAAATGCATTGTTACAGAGTTCGAGAAAGCTCGTGGGTATCAAATAGAGCGGGAGAACTATGTAGCTGATTTACTAGGTGAGAAGCCACCGCCGCCTGATGTGGGGAAAGACACAAAAATAAAACCGTTGAACTTCCGACAGACTACATACAAACGTTCTCCATTAGAGGATGATGAGGATATAAATGAAGACCAAAGACAACGGGATAAATATAACAGATACAACAACAGATATACAAGTAATAGAAATGACTATGACCGGTACAACGATAGACGAAGACATAGTGATAGCTTTTACCGTAGGGACAGGTCTGATAATGATACCGTCTGGCGGAGAAGACCAGATTCAGAAAGTACCTCTCGTGATTATAGACGCGATTGATTAAAATAGTAATTTTGAGGTCTGTATATACTTTTATATTTATCTTTACTTTTATATTTGTTTTGAATACGTTTTTTGCAATGATTGTCTGTATGTCTGAGATGAGTGTCCTTATGATCTTCACTGAGGGGGTTTAGTTGTAAATTTTGCCAGCAATGTTTTGCCCTGAAGTATTTGTCATAATACCATTTCCTGTAGTGGTTGTGTTGTACGAGTTTAGTATGTATAAATAATGAGTTTTCTGTCTTTCAACCCGAGTATTCATAGACTTAGGTTATGTGTCTATATAAATAGATGCGATATGAACTTAATCTTCTACAATAGAAAGTACATGTAACTATTAAAGGTTGTCAACGTTTTACAAAATTAGGTAATTCATGATTGCTAGTCAATTTTGTGTCATTTTGACTTGCTCATGGAAATGTGATTTTAAACTAGACTACTTGTAAATACTATTTTGTCAATATATTTATAGGTGGAAAATAGATCTTTCTAGACTGTAAATGAACATTGACAAAATAAAAGTAAAATGTCTCGATATTATAAAAACCGATAAATAAGGTAGTAAGCATTCAGACTTAATTATTATAGTTTCGGCTTACTTACGTAACTGTTTGACGAGTTACTCGACTAGTTTCAAGCCATGCTAGAGGCTCATATTCATGAGTAGCATTCCGCAACACCCGACGCGGCGACTGACTCAAACAAACCCGTCAAACAGTTACGTGAGTAAGCCGAAAACATAATAAATAATTGAGTATGTCTCACGAAAGTCCTAAAAGTAACCATTCTGATTATTGATTACCATTCTTAGTTAACAATATGAAAACTTTTTGAAATAAATTGTATGTAATCATAACTTCAAACTTTCTTTTGTTTTGAACCTTTTTACCTTTAATTTAGACCATTTTTAACATCAAATATTTAGTACGTTACACGTGTAGTGTATGGCAAATTATCAATAAAAATGGCAATGGTCGATTCTGCCGAGGTTGCGAGTTAGACAATTCATATCCAGTCACCACGGCCCTAGGAGGAGCCGGAGTAGGAACGGGGTCGTCTTTAGTCAGTCGGAGTCTGAAACTCCCTCTCGCCCCACACAGGGCGGGCTCTTCCCGCCATTTCAATTGATAATTTTCCATTTATAAAAAACAGTAAGTATTTGGTAACTACCACCAAGAATAAGTCTAACCTAATGTATTGAAGATGGTCATTATGTCACAGTTCAGAGTGAGACAGATCAAGATATTCATGTGAACAAGACTTGTTATAGTCAAATTGGTGAGATCACGTATTTAGAACATGGTTTCGATCTTATCAGTCTGCTTTGAAGATTGGGTGCTGCTGACAAGTGCATGTGATGCGCCATGGAACTTTTCATTCATGCTGACACATCTGTCAAGAATTCTCGGGGGTTTTAAAATGAGTCAGTTATAACCGGTTTTAGGTGATTTTAGGTCTTGAGCGGTCTGGTAAGTAGTTTTTCACCAAGCGAACGTAGATTCATCTGATATTTTATACAGTTTGCAGAGTAATCAACGTTCAGCAATATCGAACTTTGGCGTGTTTGGAAACTGCTATTTCAACTTTCGTCTTTGAAATAAAATATTTATAATTAATGGTTGGTTCTTTCTTGAGAATTCTGGGTTGTTGAATTGGACGCAGATATAATTGGGACATCTTTATGTATTTCAATAAAAAAACCTTTATCGTAGTACCTAATTTACATAATTGACAAAGAAAAAGCTAACCGATTGCATCAAAAAGAGTTTTAAGAAAACTGCTGTAATTGTTAATGTCGTAAAGCAATGCAATAATGTAGATTTCCCCTCCATTTGATCCGATGCCCTTAAGATTACCTTTGTTTACGAAATGTTCCGTGAAAGAATTTTCTACAATATGTTTTCGGATAATTTGTACCGAAATTTTATTGCTCTTTGTGACATCTCCGACCGTAAATGTTGATGCCATCTTCGAATCTGCACTTTGTTTTCTCGTTCTTGAATTACTGCTTAGTAAGATACAGATATATTTTTTTATTTTATATAAAGTAGAAGACTTTGTCGATTAAGCGATTCGGTTAAACCTACCTGGAGGCAGTTTATAGTTAGAAAAGTAATGTATATGATGATGAATCGTTGCAGTAAATATTCAGAGACATAACTTACTGACATAACTTGCTTAAAACTCCCCTCTTTGTAAAAAACACTGGAATGCCAATAGTCTGTTCCATAAACAGTAACCCAAAGCAGAAAATTAAGTCGCTAATACTTTGTCAACTTCAGCAAGTATAAATCAAGGGATAGATGAGAAAGATAGTGCGAAGTGCGGATAGTTCGGTGTGACAGGGATCTATTTCTATGAAACAGAGTATTTTATGTTACAGAAAACTGAATTATGTGCCAGTGTTTGGTCGGTAACGTCCACAAATATATTTCTGCGTTGCTTCAAGTAGTAGTAACGCTCGAGGTTGTCTCTGATTTATATGTTGTCGATAGGTTTGTTGCTTTCTCGAGTTGCCGGGTGCAGTTGCTTTTATTGCTCTATTGTTTGCCTCCTGGGCGTAGATTACGAGTACTTCGAGTAATTTACTTGTAACCACTGTGTATTGTAACTATCGGTTTCTAACGTTAGTGTTGTAATGAATTGCAATACATTCGCGTGTGGTATGACCCACAGCAATAATTTAAGATGAGCGATTGCTGTGAAGAAATTTTATGTTCTGTTTGCGTCTAGAATTGTAGTTTGACAAATTGTGAGTGGTTAGACTTAGCGTTTGTTTAGCATTCGGCGCGGTTAAAGAGATTTCTCACGATGTGTATTGAGGATCTGAATCGTTAAATGAGAATACTGTTATCCTTATCTTACGACCCAAAAAGGACGTAAATTACTGTCGCTTTGTTGGCTCCTAATAAAATGTAACATCTTAACTGTTGTTATCTTATATTTTTGTTTCGAATCTTAACTACCTGGCTTCCGTCAGGGCGTATTTCTTCAGATCCTGCATCTTGAGTGACGTGGACGACTATTTAATTTATGTCCATTACTGTGAGGCGTTTCATTTTAATGTGCTCGTTCATTTGGGTGACAGCCGGTGACGCTCCGGGCGCCATATTGATTGTTATCTGCTAACCGACGCTTTCAAACAGTGACTGTAGGTCACTGATATTGTTTGGATTTTTGATTAAATGGAATTGATACAGCTTTGTTTAATTAGTTTTGATTGGATAATATACGAATTAATTTGTTGAAATATTGGATGCTCTCTCGGATGATGATGATGATGTTTTATTTAGGTTACGTATAATTAAAGTAACGTTTATGTGCGGTAAATCCTCTAGAGCGACCCGGATCACGGCCATAGGCAGAAGAGGAACATCGCGGTGGTTTTAGCCGGTAAGAGTCCCCCCCGTTGGGCGCGGGAAGTCCAGGAGGCTTTCCATCGCATTATACAAAAAATTAATGTTTATAAAATTACCATCCTAGTATTTACAAGTGTATCCTTTGGAAGTACCACAAAAACCTGTGACTCATATTCAAAACAAGACCACAAAATAATAAGCTTTTATTTAGAAATTATCAGCTCGGTTCAAGAAGTGTTTAATAAACAAGGTGGTTCAATAGCTCCCATAATTAAAGTAGCAAGAACAATATATAGGGGCATTACTCTTGCGATCCTATTATCGGATCGATAATTCAATCTGGAGCGATATTGTCTGCGTGCCTTGGGGCTGCGGACGCCGACGTCGCTTCTGTCCTGAGTGAAGAAAGGTAATTGAGTTTGAGCTTTGTACATGTAAGGAGGTTTACTCTGTGAGGACTTGTATGTTGCTTGACAGTTGTAAGAGCGTAAGTAATATCAGTTAAATTGAATGGTTTTGAGATAGTTCCGGTTGAAATCATCATCATCATGAAAAGCCGGAAGACGTCCACTGCTGGACAAAGGCTCCCCTTTAGTCCTCCACGTTGAACGACAAATCGCCACCTGCATCCACTTTATCCGGTTGAAATATCTAAATGATAATTTGATTCTGCACCCTAAAAACACCAATTTTATAAGTATCACATATTTTTATTCTACGGTTGACGATTTAAGTGGTAGTTCTGCAGTTACAACCAAGATGGTGATTTTGTTGAAATATGAATGAAAATCACGAGAGTCCATGCCATAATCTAAGAATGAATTATATCTACCGATTTACCTCCTACGTCTATCCAGACCTACTTATGAATTCTAATAGAAAATCGAAAAAACTTTAATGATGTTTTTGGTTGAATAAAAGTTTTAATCTATGACAAATATAGCGATTAATAAAGTCGATCGATAATACGAACGAAGCCACTATAACATTAGGTTTCGATTTGATCACAATTAAAGGGTTGTGCCGCCTCGGTCATGGATACCGTATATTTGTGACAGTGGGTCATGTTTTAATTATTACGATTGGACTAAGGAATACCAGATTGATATATTATCATAAATTACAGGTTCCGTTACAAAGGGATACGGGATTTTTGAAGCAGATAATTATTTTATCTTTGTTTAAATAATGCTTTCTTTTTATGGTGATGTAGTCTCATGTGTGGTAACTTGTAAGGTACTTCGACATTGGTGTTAATTTAATTTTGTCTTTATAATAATTTTAGTAGATTTTGTTCTGTTGGACAGAAAAAGTGATGGGAATTAGCGGAGAGACAATAGGTTGTTCTTAGTAATTTAGGGACTACTTCTATACTATACAATTCTATATTATTACACTAAATAAATGATAAATGCGTGTATTCTCAACTTAATAAGGAAGCTCGAAGAATGTCTAGAGTATGACGTAATAAGAATAAAATAAATATAGGTACCTAGGTACAGTTTTCGCAAGTAAATTTGTAAGTTTGTATGTAGCAAGCAATTTGTAATCCAAATGTGTTATAATATAACAATGTTTATTTTGATCTACTGCTACACCTGCACGTTTATCAGCTTTGAAAATACGCTTCAAATTAAA